GTGACTCTTAACATACAGAAAGTGAGAAGGAGGCAGAGGGCAGGCAGCCCTTCTCTGAACCCTCAGTGGGGGGCCATGGGTCCATTTTAGAGCTGTCAGCTTGGGTGGTTCAAGGGCCCAGGATTACTGAGGGTCTGGGGAAAGAGTGCTCAAACCTCAGTTCCCTAATCCATGAAATGGGTATAATCATGGCTCTGCCACAAAGTCACTGTGAGAGTTACCTACATCATTACACATAAAAGGACCGGGAACATAAAAACAGTAATAGACAAGTATTGAGTGACAGTTGTGTGCTACAAGTTGTTTAATCGCTTTTCCCATGTTAATCCACTTAAGTCTCACAATAACACTATAAAGTAGGATTTAGAGATTCAGTTTTGTGAAAGTGGAAATAGGAAGGTTAAAGAATGAGCTGAGGCCCCACAGTGAGGCTGCTGGACCCTTGACCTTCCTTTACCAAACACAGTGCTATTTCTACCCACCACCCCATAACTCCCATGGAAAAGAACAAATGAACAAACAGAAGAATGTCAGAACTGGAGAAAGACTATATTTTCTTGGGCTTTTCTTGGAGCTGGTGGCAGGTGGGGGTGGGTGGCTAGTATAACCCAGGGGGCATGTGTACCTGTCCCTCTCCTTTAAAAAAAAAAAAATGTGTTTATTTATTTGGCTGCACTGGGTCTTAGTTGCAGCACTTGGGACCTTTGATCTTCATTGCAGCATGTGAGATATTTGGTTGAGTCATGTGGGACCTAGCTCCCTGACCAGGAATCAAACCCAGGCCCCTTGCACTGGGAGCTTGGAATCTTAGCCATTGGACCAACAGGGAAGTCCCCTCCATCTCCCTTCTTAACCACTGAGTTCCACTCAGACCTTTCTCTCCAAATCAGGGAGGGGTTTGGGGCAAAACTGGTAGGGGGAAGCATCTTTTTCAAGATCAGAGGAAGGGGGCTTCCCCTCTCCTGATTCTCATTTCACTTTTATGGGGGAAAAGGGCCCCTCACCCCAATGCAATGAGATGAAGCAATGGTTCCTGGGGGCCTTGTGGCCCCACTGCCATAGCAACCAGAATCACTAGCAGTTTCTGGTACAGCAACATTGCTTGGACCCACAGCTTGGGCTGGAGAAGTTGAGGGGTAGAAAACAAACTTTAAGAGCTTTCTTTTGCTCTGAGACTGGACCACTTACTCTCCAGGGCCAGTGGAAACTAGAAGTCCAAGTCCCAGACTTGGCGGGGAGAGAGGCACGCCCACCCTTGGACCTCCCTCCTGAATCTGGGGCAGCTGCTTAAAATTTCCAACGTTTGTCTGCACTGAAGACTGTTGAGAAACGTCTGAGGAGGGAAGTGTCAGGATTCACTCAGCATATAGGTCACTTATAGCTCTAGGGGACTTTTTCTTTTGTTTCCCTCTTTTCCTTTTCTTCCCTTTGAATGAGGTATAATTTGCATAAGGTAAAGTGATCAGATTTTGTTTCAGCTTGATGAATTTTTGTGTGTATATACCACCCAGCTCAAGAGAGGTCAGGTCCATTCTTCCAGAAAGTTCCCTCCCACCCTTTCCTGGAAGTCAGTATTCCCCAATCTGACTCTATCACTACAGGTTAGTTTTACTTGTGCTTGAACTCCATGTAAGTGGAACCATACCGTGTGTCCTCTTCCATGTCTTGTGTCTTTCATGTTATGTTCAACCTCTGGTGTTATTAGCCTGTTCTTTTTTTGTTGTTGTATAGTATTTTGTTGTAAGGATTACTCTGTTTATTTGTTCTACTGTTGATGAATATTTGAATTGTTTGCAATAATTGGTTACTGTGAATAAAGCTGCTATGAACATTCTAGTATGTGTCTTTTGGGAAACACAAGTTCACATGTCTGTTGGGTAAATACCCAGGAGTAGAACTGGTGGGTGGCAAGGTAGGTGTTACGTGTAGTTTTAGGAGATAGTGCTAGTTTTGTAAAGTGGTTAGAGCGTTTCACATTCCCACCAAGAATGCATCAAGATTCTAGCTTCTCCACATTCTGTCAACAACACTTAGCATTAGCAGTTTTTCATTTCAGCCATTCTGGTGAGTATGATATTTCATTATGGTCTTATTTATATTTCTGTGATGACCAATGACACTAAGCATTTTCCCAAAAGCTCTTTGGCCATTTTGATAACTGTCATTTCAACTCTTCTATCAGTTTGGTTTTCTTGATTTGTAGGTACTCTTTATATATTCTGAATATGAGTCCTTCATCAGGTATCAGTTCAGTTCAGTTCAGTCTCTCAGTGTCCGACTCCTTGTGACCCCATGAATCGCAGCACACCAGGCTTCCCTGTCCAGCACCAACTCCCAGAGCTTGCTCAAACTCATGTCCATCAAGTCGGTGATGCCATGCAACTATCTCATCCTCTGTCATCCCCTCCTCCTCCTGCAAATTTCTTCCTTCTGGGAGAACATGTCCTACTCCGAATTTTCTCCCCAGGTTTTGGGCTGGGAGTGACCACAAGAACAAGATTATCGTTTCCCAGTTCCATCATCCTGAAGAAAACAGGTGCCCTGGTTTACTGGATACCTGTGACATGTCAAGGACTTTACATCAGTGAAGTGAAAAGTGAAAGTGTTAGTTGCTCAGTTGTGTCCCACTCTTTGGGATCCCATGGACTGTAACCGGCCAGGCTCCCCTGTTTGTGGAATTCTCCAGGCAAGAATACTAGAGTAGGTTGCCATTTCCTTCCTCAGGGGAGCTTCCTTACCCAGGAATAGAACCTGGGTCCCCTGCATTGCAGGCAGATTCTTTACCATCTAAGCCACCAGGGAAGCCCAAAATCAACAGGCCCCGATGGGACACGAACCCAGGATTTCCTGTTTACATCAGTCATACCCTTAAATAGTCACAACAATCTTATTTATTTAACTCACTTATTCAACACATATCCAAAAATCGAACAGGTGTCAGAAATTGTTGGACACAATGAGAATAAGAGTCAGGGTCTAAAAAGAGTCTGTGTTCCTGGGGCAAGTGGTAAGGCATACCATACTCATGAACATACAAAAGCAAGGCTGTATCAGAGGCGGAGGTTGCTGGAAAAGTGGGGGGTGGAGAGCAACTGGGGGTGGTGGGGAAGATTCCATGGAGGTGAGATGGAGCTGGTGGTTGAGGATGAAAGTGGAACCAGGCATGTAAAATCTAGGGGGAACAGTGTTTCCAGAGGTGGGGGAACAGCTAGCACAAAGGCTCAGCGCGGCTGAAGTGGAGTAAGAAATGGGAAAGGGATCCAGAAGAGGTTGAGTGAAGGATTTGGACTGAATCTAAGAGCTGTGGGGATGGACTGCAGCGTCCTGAATACTCAGTCCTGACAGGAGAGAGGGTTGAAGCAGGGAGTTCAAGGCAGAGACAACTGTGATAAGCCAAGTAATCCTGACAGGGACAGGACAAGGGTGTGGGCCACAGAAATGGGAAGAAGTAAGTGAATTCAGGTTCTATTTGAAGATGGTTATTATGGACAGAGGAGCCTGGCAGGCTACGGTCCATAGGGTCGCAAAGAGTCAGACACTACTGAAGCGACTTAGCACGTAACCTATGCATACTATCATCCACAACTTGGAGGGAACAGAATCTCAGAGAGGTCAAGTGACTTGCCCAAGGTCACAAAGCTCAGAAATGGGGAACATGGAAGAAAATTCAAGCCTGACTTGTCAATTATATGAAAGATGTCAGGTTGTGGGTGGAGGGACCTCAGGAGACCTAGAGGTGGGGATCCAGGGTGCTGGTGCAGTAGAGGAGGGGGCCTCAGACCCAGAAAATCTACCTGTCCTTAAGTTGGACCCTACTTATCCCTGGACTGCAGGGCTGGTAAGCGGCAAGCTGCAAATTGAACGGAGACCCAGTGACCAGACGTATCAGAGGTGATTCAAACTAGTCTGGACCCCGTACACTCAGTGTAGCCCATTCAGAGCTGACATCGGCCATGGGTCCTCAGAGACCCTGCAAGTCCCGCCTGATCCTTGTGGCGAGGGGGAGGTTGGGCGCTGCGGCTGCCAGCCCATTAGCACCAACGTCATTATCCTAGATTTATGTGTATAATTCTTCTCCCCCAACTCCAACCCCCAATAGCTCCAGCATCTCCCCTGGCTGCATACTCGACTCCCCCGGAAACAGCCGGGGAGCTGCCGGCTTCGCGGTCATTAGCACGCAGGGAAGGGGGTGTGGGGGGAGGGGGCAGTCAGCACGGAGGGGGGTGGTACGGGGAGAGGACGAGAGAGGCTGAGGGAGGCAGCAAACGGAAAGGATGGGAGTGAGGTAGCAAGATGGACGAGAAGAGGGGAAGGAAACTGGGCCGGGAGGGGAGGAGGAGCCACGGCGGGTTCTGGGAGCGGGGCACGTGCCCCAGACGGCGTGGCAGCAGAAAGCGGGTCCCAGGCGCAACCCAGGGTGTCCAGAGCCCTTTCCGGCCAATGCCAATGCCAATGCCGACGAGGGACTCCTTCAGTTCAGGAGTTACTAGAAAGCCAGAAGCCCCAAACCTCTTCTTCTAGGAACCAACGCCCAAGGCTGGCTGCCGGGTCCCCGGCGCCCGCCACGGCCGAGCGAGCCCACCTGCGGGGGCTGCCCCTTAAGAGCCCAAGCCTCCGGGTGGTGGGGGGGCGTGCCGAGGCCCCTCCATTCCGAGGGAAATCAATGCCGCGTTAATGTAAGATTTCCAGCCCGGGGGCAGGAGGCGCTTCATAAAAGATGCATTGTTTCGATTGCACGCGCTCCTCCCCGGCATCCTGCAAGATGGCGGCGGCCCCGGCGGAGGGGAGGGCGCGGAGCCGAGCCCGCCAGCCCGGGGAGGGGGCGGCAGGAGCGGGGAGTGCGGCCCCCTCTCCTGCGGGGGAAAGTGGGAAGAGATGAAGGAAGGGAGGAGAGAGAGGGAGAAAGCGGGAGGGAAGGGGCTGGGAGAACGAAGGGGAGGCGGGAGCAGGGACGCGGGCTGGGGACGGGTGCGGGGAGGGCGGTGCTGCGCGGGGTGAGGATGGCTGGGGACCGGAAGGAGGGGAAAGAAAGGCAGCCCGAGGAGGTGGCCCCGAGAGTGACAGGAGAGCGAGCCGGAGACGGGGGTGGGAGAGAGGCTGGGGAGAGGTGAGCAGCGGGGAGGGCAGGCGGCCTGGAAGGGATGTGAGCTGGAGTGGGAGGGGCGAGGGAAGGAGGGAGCGAAAGAAAACCGGAGGAGGCAGCGAGGGGCGCCTGGACCGCAGGGAAGGGCCACCCCCACCCCAAGCTGTCGCGGGGCTTCTCCCCGCACTCCAGCGCAGGCCCCCCGCTGGCTCATTGCTGGTTCCTATGCACTGCCCCCCGCCCCAAGACTCGAGCCTAGGAGCCCCCCCTCCTTCATGGAGGTGGCTGCACCCCATTGGCCTGTCTCCTAACCCTCTTCTTGTCCTGGCACCAGGGGTGGCAAACTAAGAGGGTACAACCTCCTCCATCTGTCTCTCTCTGGACATCCTGCCCTGCCCAGGGACTGGCATGGGGCAATACCCGCAGTGTCCCCCAACTCAAGGCCTCCAGGGTTCACGCCAAAGAGCCCCCCTTTCCTTAGCAGGAAGGAGGTTTGGGTACATCCATCCTACCTTCTGGAGAGGCATGCCGAGGTTCCAGAGAGGGGAAACTGCGGCAGAAGAGAGCCAAAGTCACAAATGGATCGCCTCACCCCTCCCAAGGGTCCCACCCTTAGTGCCCTCCCCCAGCCCCGCCATCCCCCGGCTCCTGGCCTACTCCCCGTACTCCGTGGCGACCACGGTGAGAGTTTCAAGCCCCCCTCCCCCTCTTCCAACCTTCCTGCTTCACCATAGGGGAGCTCCCAAACGCCTGAAAATATCTTTAAATTAGGAAAAAGAGCTAAGCCGCCAGGGTCCTTTGGTCTGTTAAAGAAGGAGCAAAGGCCACGGGCGCCCCCTCCCACCCCCCGCCTTACTCTGGTTTTGCATTTGAAGCCCAGACAGCGGATCCAGCTGGAACAATGACGGGGGCCTGCCCAGCCAACCCCAGCTGCTTCCTTTTCAGTGGCCCTGTGCCCCCTGCGAGGTGTGCCAAAATTAGAATGGCTCCCTTCTCCGGCCCTTTTCATCCCCCTCTCCCCCTCCCCTCCTCCCAGGGGCTCCTGGGGTTTCTGAGGCCCTAATGAAGCTCACATCTCTGCCTTTTCTTTAAGCAGATCCTGCCTGGGGGGAACTGGAGTCTGGGTCCATGATGGAAATCTGCCCTCGAAGAACTGCCCCCAGGGATGGATTCCATTGCTATGCTCCATGCAGCACCTTCCCTACCCTACTCCCTACTCCTCAAGTCCCTCTAGGTCCTGGTGACATCCACCTCCTCCAGGCAGCCCTCCCAGCCTGCTGGCACTTGCTCCCTACTGTTTCCCATAGGGTCGGGCAGTGGAATCTGGCTGCCTAGGTTCAGATCCAGGCCTCACCTCTTTCTGCCTCTGTTCCCCCCTGGCAGCTTGGTTAGCCATTCAGAGCCTCAGTGTCCCCATCTGTCAAACAAGGGTAGCTTTGAAAACCTATGTCATGAGACTTTTATGATGCTGAAAGGTCATAACGTGCAAACTGGGTAGAAGAATCCCTAGGCCTGTTGCTCGAGCCACACTGGCCCCTCGAGTGTTCTAAGTTGCTTCAGTGGTGTCCGATTCTTTGTGAACCTATGGACTGTAGCCCACCAGGCTTCTCTGTCCGTGAGGATTCCCCAGGCAAGAATACAGGAGTGGGTTGCCATGTCCTCCTCCAGGGGATCTTCCTGACCCAGAGATCAAACTCAAGTCTCTTACATCTCCTGCATTGGCAGGCAGGTCCCTTACCACTAGAGTCACTTTGGAAGCCCTTATACTGGCCCCTCACTAAACCCCAAACACACCCAGCATGCTCCTACCTCTAGGCTTCCCACTGGGTGTTCCTTCTAGATGTCCCCACAGCTCCCTCCTGCCTTTATTCACATCTGTGCTAGTGTACCACCTCCTCAGAAGGACCTTCCCAAGCCATCACCAGGTTGTTTGCCATCACTCGTTTTATCACCACCTGACATTATATTACTTACCCGAGCTTAGGCTCTGCAACCCAAGGGCCCTGGCTTCACAGTTATTGGCTGTGTGACCTTGGGTATGTTACTTAACTTCTCTGAGCTTCAATCCCCTCATTTTTAAAATGGGAATAGTAATAAAACTGGTCTCATACAACTGTTGGGTGAATAAGTGACTTAGCAGATGGAAAACCTTCAGAACAGTGTGTGGCCCACACTAGGTGGTATTCCCAAAACTGATTTTGCTTCTATTATTTTTGAGTACCCTGTCTCCTTCCCTCCCTGCCCTGCCCCCAACTAGACTGTATGCCCTCCTGAGGAATAATACTTCAGGGCGCAGTCTTTGTATTATTCACTGCTCTATTCTCAGTACCCAAATGACCTGGTATCTAATAGATGCTCCATACTTGTTTGGACCTGTCGGAGACTCAGTTTTCTCATCTGTAAAATGGGATGATAATAGCATGTACTTCACAGATGTTGAGGATTCCATGAAATAAGTGCTATTACTATTTTTTGCAGTAATTCAGTGAGTCTACAAACATAATACCTAGTATTAATACTTAGTGCACAATGTAATTGTGTATTACATATGTAATTGTATATCATATATATGTAGTTTTATATCATATAATATTATATATAATATATAATTCTAGATCTAGAAGTAGGGAGAATTATGAGAGATACCTTTTATTGCCTCCAACATCTTGGTTTCTTCTTTGCTAACAGAGTATTTGCTCTGATTGGTTGGCAGATTCCCTGTTCTATGCTTCCCACCCAGCCTCCCTTGCTTCTCATTGGCCATAAGTGTGGCTGAGTGACACATTTTTAGCCAATGAAACCCAAGCCAAAGTTGGCTGAGGGGTTCAGGGAAGAATGAGCATATTTTATGAGCCTCCATTGCCTTATATATAAAATGGGAATTAACAACAGCAACGGGCTGGGGTGAAGATCACACAACTGATCTAGACGGATATCTAGGTGACCATGGGAACCTAAGTGGGTGCTAGCCGTTGGTTTCCAGCAGCACCAAACTCCAGATTGTCTGGTGAGAAAAAAGCAACTTTTTGTTTAAGCCACTGCTGTTCAGGTATTTTTATATTTGCAGCCCAATGTATTCCCATATAATGACACTAAATTTTTCTGGATCTCCAAAAATACTCAGGGTAGGGTTTTGTTGTTTAGTCACTAAGTCATATCTGACTCTTTGCAACCCCATGGACTGTAGCCTGCCAGGCTCCTCTGTCCATGGGGTTTTCCAGGCAAGAATACTGGAGTGGGTTGCCATTTCCTCCTCCAAGATACCTCCAGGGGATCTTCCCGACCTAGGGATTGAACCTGGTCTCCTGCATTGGCAGGCAGATTCTTTACCACTGAGCCACCAGGGATAGGGTCGCTATCTATTAACATTTTTATGTTAACAAAATATAGATTGAGGCACAGGCACTGCAACATTAAAAAAAAAAAATGGGAAAGTGTATGCATTTAACTGGGCCCTGTGCAGCCAAGAAAGAGGTGACGAAAACAGTCTATAAGGGAGGGTGTTACAAAGTAAAGTGTGTCCCCCCTCCAAAAAAAATACATGTTAAAGTCCTAACTCCCAGTACCTCCGAATGTAACCTGATTTGGAAAGAAGGTTGTTGCAGATGTGTTTAGTTAAAATGATGTCATACAGGAGTAGGGTGGGACCTTAATTCAATATGATTCGATTGTATTATACATTTCTTCTAAGGAAAGAGACACAGCCCACACAACAGGAGAATGCTACATGGTGATGGAGACGGACTGGGGTGATGTGTCTACAAGCCAAGGAACGCCGAGGATGGCTGGCAACCACTAGAAGCTGGGAGAGACATGGAGAGATCCTCCCCTAGAGACCTCAGAGAGAGCGGGGCCCTGCTGACACCCTGATTTCAGAGTTCTGACCTCCAGAACTGTGAGATGATATATTTCTTTTTAAACATTTTTTGCTATTTATTTATTTATGGTTGTACTGGGCCTTCGTTGCTGCACATGAGTTTTCTCTAGTTGCGGCAAGTGGGAGCTACTCTTTGTTGCAGTGCACAAGCTTCTCGTGGTGGCTTCAGCCCCGTGAAAGTGTTAGTGGCTCCGTCATGTCTGACTCTTTGTGACCCCATGAACTGTAGCCCTCCAGGCTCCTATGTCCATGGAATTCTCCAGGCAAGAATACTGGAGTGGGTAGCGATGCCCTTCTCTAAGGGATTTTCCTGACCCAGGAATCAAACCAAGGTCTCCTGCATTTCGGGCAGATTCTTTACTGTCTGAGCCTCCAGGGAAGCCTTTCAGCTCAATTACTTGGAGCAAATCTTTTGCCCACTCCTGGCTTTTGTATGCTTGGCACTCTCTGCAGTCCCAAGGCATAAAGGTGGACAACAGGGGTCCTCTGTCCATGGACATGGCATCACTTCACATACTGTGAAGCCCTTCCAGCCTTCCAGAATCTCCCCAGGTAGAATTAATGCATTCCAAGTGCCCTCAGGGCAGGGTTAGGTGGCTGCTGTCATTACTGAGAATTTAAGGCTATTGATGTCCTTGTTTCTCCAGCAAGTCAAGAACCTCCCTGAGAGCAAGAAATGGCCTTTCATTGATGCAGCCCAGCATGACAGAACTATCTTCTGGTAAAACAAAGGGGTGTAACTCCCATTAGATGCACAGGCACCCAGTAATGTCCATCTGGTCAAAAGCAAGAGAATTTACATGTGCGACACAAGCTGAATCTCAGTGAAGACCCCATTGCTGCTTTTAAAACTGCCTGGGTTCAAATCCCAGTCCAACCTAGGACTGGCTGAATCAATTGTAAGTGAGTGACTTTGTTGCTCTGTGCCTCAGTTTCTCTGACTGTAAAATGGGGGAATAAGTGGCAATCCTACCTGGTCAGACCATTTCAAGGATTATGTCTTTTTTAAAAATTGAAGTATAACGGCTTTAAGGCTTCCCTGGTGGCTCAGTGGCAAAGAATCCACCAGCAATGCAAAAGATGTGGGTTCAATTCCTGGGTCGGGAAGATCCCCTGGAGGAGAACATGACAACCCACTCCAGTATTCTTGCCTAGAAAATCCCATGGACAAGAGGAACCTGGTGGGCTATAGTTCATAGGGTTGCAAAAAGTGAACATAACTGAGCAATTGAGCACAGCCCACACACACATAAATATTTTACAATTCTGTGTTAGTTTCAGGTATATAGCAAAGTGAATCAGTTATACATATACATATATCCCCTCTATTTTAGATTCTGTTCCCATATAGGTTATTAGAGTATCAAGTAGTTCCCTGTGCTATACAGTAGGTCCTTGTTGTTTATCTATTTTATATACAGTACTGTGTATATGATGGATTAAACCTTTAATCCATTTGAGTTCATTTTACCAGTGATGTAAGAAAGGGATCTGGTTTCATTCTTTCACATGTGAATATCCAGTTTTCCCAGAACCATTTATTGAAGGGACTACCTTTTCTCTATTGAGTCTTCTTGGCTCCTTTGTCAAATATTAGTTGACCAGATATGTATGGGTTTACTTCTAGGCCTCTTGATTCCATCCTACTAGTCTATGTGTCTGTTTTATGCCAATACTATACTGTTTTGATTACTGTTGCTTTGTAATATAGTCTGAAAACAAGACGTTTAATGCCTCCAGCTTTGTTCTCACTCACTTCAAGGATTAAATGAGATTATACTTGTCAGATACTCAGAAGTTAGAT